TGCCACGCCATGGAGTGGTACCGCTTGTGTATTTACCATCTTGAGCCATCCTGTACTCCCAGTGTACTTTAGGCCCAAACGATTGGCTTCGTCTTTAGACACAAAATTGTGGGTAGCCCCCGTGTCCACCATAGCTCTTGTCAGCTTCTCGTTGATCACCGCTTCCACATACATGAGCCCATTACTCGGTGTTGGTGTCAACGACTTGGCCTTCAGGGCGTTTAGAACTTGGAGCGACCCCATCTCGGCTTGAGACTCTGTGTCTTGATGATCGACGATGGCGGACAATGAACCAAGTTTGGGACAGCTACTCATCGGATGCGGCCCTTTGCACAAGAAGCATCCTCCTTTAGGAACGAAAGACTTTTTCTTCTCTTCGTAGTCCCTTTGGCCCGGACGTCGATCTCGATCTCCCTCTTTAGCTTGTGACCTTTGGTGATCTCGATCTCGATTGCCTTGGTTGTTTTCCCACCGTTCTCCCCAGCCTTTGGCTGGATACTTATCCTTATTCTTCATCGTAATAGTGTGGGAGTAGGGTTGGAAGTCGATAAGTGACTCGGCGATGGCAATGGCCTCATCAACCGTTCTAATGTCCCGACGGTGTATCTCTTGCTTGGCCCATCCTTATAGTCCGTCAATGAAATAGAACAAGAGATCATCTTCAGACATATTGGGGATTTGAAGCATAAGTGTTATTAATTCTTTTACATAGTCCCGCATAATACCCCGCTGCTTCAACTCCCACAATTTCTTGCGAGCCTCATAGACCACATTCTAGGGATAGCAGTGCTTCTTGAGTTCTTTCTTGAACTCGTCCCATGTATCTAACTGACAAACCCCTCGCTCTATGTCGGCATGTTTCCTACGCCACTATAACATAGCAGTATCTGAAAGATATAAGGCAACGGTCTTTACCTTGGCGGCCTCGTCGTTAAGGTCGATTCCCTCGAAGTATTGTTCCATCTGCCATAGGTAGTTTTCAACTTCCTTGGCGTCCCTTGCCCCGTTGAACCCTTGCGGCTTGGGGCACTCGACCCTCGGGGTGGAGACAGTGATGTTAGCACCCCCGCTAATGACAGCCCTCTTGCAGAGCGCCACGTCCTCCCGCATCCCCTCGATGCTTTCACGTAAGGCTTGTATCATATCCTCTAGCCGTATGAACCGAGATTCCACCTCATTGTTGGTCTCTTCGGCACTCCCCTTGAGCATGTCAACTTGCTCCAAGACATGGTCTTCCAGCGTCTTGAAGTCGTGCTAGACCCTCTCCAGCCTTTCGCCGAACTCCGCCACCATTGGTTCTAAGGAATTTCCTTCGCGGGCCTTACTCTGGTCCCTCTTCTTCTTCGGGTTGGTGGGTGCAGCTTCTCTCCCACGATCCTCAGTAACAGTTGACTCGTTCAGGTTCCCGACCATTCCTACAAGATACGTGCACGATATTGATGCCTTAACAGGCTCTGATACCAACTTTCACGAACTTAATCTCTCAATAAGCCTCGTACGGCCTTAGCTCCTTTTTTCCCCTTACGATAGCTAAGTCAGCCTCACTCAAACTAGTGCTAGTGTGGGAAAGGATTGGCAAGGAAACAAAGAAAAAAGGAAAGAACTTTGAAAGAAAGCTTGTTGATATGCTTGAAAGCTTACAACTCTTGGATGATTTACAAATGAGGATTCTACACCTATTTATAGCATCCCACCTCCTCAATCAACGATGGATATTGACTTGATCCTACGGTAGGGAGAGATTCTCTAGAATTCTCCATAATTTCCTACCTAACATGGAAGACTCTAGAATGCTTCTAGAATACTCTATATGTATAAGTCTTGAGTTTTCTAGAATAATCTACACTATTCTATCAACCTCCAAGACCAAATGTGGCCCAACATAGCCAAAATAGCCCAAAGTGTGGGGAAAAAGGCCAAGTTCGTGACACGCTGCTAGCTTGAAATGCCCAATGCCCCGACCTAAATAATTGAATTTCCCAGTCAAAATTCAATCTAAACTTTAAATTGAAAATTACAATAAAAATCCCCTTCTATATTTCATTGTTGGTTTATTATGGTTTATTTGTTTGACATAGTTTTTTTTCCTTGTGAAACTAGCAATTATTGTGCACAACAATGCCTATTAATTACGATTGTGCGTAGTAGTGGTTGTATCATTTTTGTTACTTAAATGTTGTTAATTGAAAATATTAAAGATATTATTGTAAGCATATTTATTAGTTAAATGCTGCTAATTAATTGAAAATATTGATGTGTAGCAATATGATTATTGATTTTATGTTTTTTTTTTTCAATTTTAGATTATTTGGTTTTGAAGCCCTACACTTATTTTAAAATTTTATTTTGGAATTGTTCAAACATATTTTGATAAATATTTAGGTTGCGTTTGTTTCATGGAAAATAGATTCCGGGAAATGAATTCCGTAAAATGAATTACATTCCCATGAAAATATTTTCTGAAATCATTTTACAATGTTTGGATGATGTTGTGTAATTCATTTTCCATTGATTGGTAATTTTTTAAATATTATTTATTATAAACATCAAATATAATGAATAATATTATTTATTAATAAAATAATAATTATAAATTTAAAATATTAGAATAATTTATTTAATATTATTTATGTCAATACTATTATTAAAATATTATATCTACAATTTTCATTAAAAAAATATTATGATTAGTTATATTATATTATTAAAACTATCAATAAATAAAATTTAATAATTAATATTTTATTAAAATGATATTAAAATAATATATTATATTATATATTATAATAATATAATTATATAAATAAATTAAAATATTATATTATATTATTAAAACTATCAATAAATAAAATTTAATAATTAATATTTTATTAAAATGATATTAAAATAATATATTAATATTATGGATATAAAATAGTAATGTTTTGAGTGTTCATATTTTGAAGTGAAAAGTTCGTAAAATAATTTACGAAAAATAAGATGGTAAGTCATTTTCAAGAAAATGCAAATGAAATTCAGTTGATCAGGAAATTGAATTACATTGACCATCTGTTTTCCGCCAACCAAACACTAGAAAATAAGGAAAACATTTTTCGAGAAACCAATTACAGGGAAGCAAACATACCCTTACCGTAGAGGTATAAAATATATTGTATAAAATTACAAAATGTTAAGTATTTGTTTGAAATTATTTAAATTTTTAAACATATAAATGAGATATTAAGTATTTATTTTAAAATTATTTAAATATATTTTTGATAAATATATAGTGAGGTATAAAACATATTTTATAGAGTTATAAAATATTAAATTAAATTAATTTTTTCATTAAATTAAAGTTTATATTCAGATCGAATATCCGGATATTCGATCCAAAATTTTGAATATTTGAATATTCGGATATCCAATTTTCAGATTGGATACGGATCACAATTTTAGTGATTTGAAATTTCAGATCGGATAATATCCGTATTCGAAAATGCACGCCCCTCATGCATGTCGCCCGGGATTGGACCCCTCATGGGCTACAATATATTTTTAGGGTAAACTACATATTTAGTATCTAAACTATTATTTTTGTTTCATTTTAATACCTAAACTTTTATTTTTTAAATTATACCTAACGTTTATTTTTATTTCATTTTAGTATCATGTCATTAAAAACTGAAAGGATCTGTTGTACATAGCATTTTTATGGGTAGATTATGTCATCATCACTCAACTATCTTCTCCTCCTATTTTAGTTAATAAAGTTTAAAAAAAATTCAATTTACTACTCAACTTTCAATGGCTCTTTCTTTAATCACTCTAATTTATTTTATGAATATTTTTTGTCATGAAAATTTTTAGTATTATTTTATTAATATAATAATTAAAAATAAAAAATTAAATTTAAAATTATACCACAAACCTTAAATCGCAAATCACTCACCTTTCCCTCATGGCCTCACTCTTATCTGTCTCTCCAACTTGTCCCTTCCTTTTTTTATTTTAATAATTAAAAATAAAATAATAATTAAAATATGTCACGTTATAAAAAATATTAATAAAATAAGTAAGAGTTATAAAAATAGGAGCAATTTGAAAGTTAAGTGGTTAAATAAAATAAAATAAACTTCAATGACCAAAATAGAATTGAGAAGATATTTGAGTGATGAATTATATAATTTGCCCATAAAAGTTGTTGTTAAATTTTTAAAGACATGGTACTAAAAAGGAAAAAAATAAATAAATGTTAAGCATGATTTTTTTATGGGAAAAACTAAAAGTTTAGATACTAAAACGGAAAAAAGCAATAGTTTAAGTATTAAACGTGTAATTTACTATATTTTAACCCTAACATAAAACATAACTTTTGGTATATTAACATGAGAGAATGTTGCTCTCCATGGAGAAATTTCAAAGATGAGCTCAGTCTCCTCATCTATATCTTTTGTAGGGCAGACTTGAAAAGTTTTTGCCATTTTGTGATTAGATCCACAATGCAATTCTCTAACAGAATTGAGTGGTGATTCTGCTATCAATTTCATCATTGAATAAAATATCGCTCCAACTCACTGTAAGACAATCGAAGCCTCTAAAATTGTATGAGCCTAATTTGACATTTTCATTAATAGCCCTTAAAGGTATCTTCCACTGTTTCTAAAGTCTTCATTTTCATCATCTTTAGAACCATTATCATCTGCAAAACAGCTTCCGACTTCATTATTACACCACCACATACAACTGCATGCCTTAACATCAAGAACCCTAGAGATGCTGTTTGAGTAGGGGAAAATGTGATCATATGCATCAAGAACACTTCCAACTATTTCCACTCCAGAAATAACATACCATATCATCCAGAAAAGAAACTGACAATATTTTATCAGTAAATTTTGCTGGAATTACCCAACAAGTTTAGATGTGCATGTTTTCTCTGGTATCTTCTGACCAAGTAAAATTTGCTTATTTATCATCCGTAATAATAAAACCCAGGATTCTACTCAACACACATTCGACCGAGGAAAATTATTAAAATTGATGGTATTAGTCATATGTCCCAGTCTCAGTTTGTATACAGAATGATAATCTTGCAAATGCACATACACAACTTCACTAGGTTTCCATCCAAAACTTTCGATTTCTATCTTACACCCTCGTCCAATTCCATCGAGCACTGCATGTGTTCGACATACAATACCCCCATAGCTGATTGAAGGGTCGAAGACATTATCAACTGTTAGTAGTCGCCGTTCTTCAAATGTTTGATGGAGGCTTGTAATCAAGCATCTCCCTTACGTTTAACCTGATTGAAGGACCCATCGAAGTGCATATATGTGCACTTTTCCAGTATACTCCTTTGGCACCTTTTGGCTTGTTTGTTTCAATCGATTTCTGTCGAATTAAGAACAAAACCAAATAAATACCAGAGTTCAATTTCGGTTTACAGACAAATAGCGTTCAAAAGAAACAAACGAGAGCAAGAAGGCAAGAGAAATGTAAAGGAACGGTTTTGACATACTACTGCTGCAAGAAAGTTGACAAGGAGGTCTTCTTCAGAGAAGTCTACTTTGCCAAAAGGTATGTGAACGATCCCGGTTTTATCAGCTCTGTATTCAACTTTACCCTTTTTGAATTCTTCGATAGCCTGAAAAAGAAAATGATGCACTACAAATTTTAGCCATATATCATCATTGGTAGCTACCTCGCATCGTTCAGTTCTGAATTCATTAGAACTAAAATGATCAATGAGAACTCATCCAAACATAACAATCGGATCATACCTGAGGTATATTTGGTGTAACGGTACCAGCTTTCGGATTTGGCATCAGCCCACGTGGTCCTAGAATCTTTCCAAGGCTTGCAACCTAATTTAGAAGAAGGAAGACGTTAAAATAAAACCCATAATGATGAATTATTGTCAAAACCATGAAACAAATCAAAGTCCATGATATATCTCATTAATTGAAATAAGAGCAGTAAAGCAGCACCTTAACCATCATATCTGGGGAAGCAATCAGTTTGTCAAAGTCCATGAATCCTCCTTTTATTTGTTCAATCAAGTCCTCACCACCGACAATATCCGCTCCGGCATTTTTTTGCTTCATCGAACTTTTCACCTGCAAAGATATTACAGAAATGCAATTAATTTGTGTTGCTGAGCCTCAAGAAAAAAAAACTTTATCCAAATATTATTCCATTTAATATCTTTAACTACTCTCACTCGCCTAGTGTACACTAGTTTAGAATGATGATTTGCAATTAACAAAATTTATTTTATATTTAGAGTTCAGAACCTACTCAATCTATTACATGAACTGAACATCATTCAGTTATTTTTCTTTGCTGGAATATTTCAAAAAAGAAACAAAACACACATACCCTATTGTAAATAAATCATTACACTTCATGAATCAGTTGAAAAGGATGGGCTTGTACACACGAGAATGGTTGTTCTGTGACAATATTAAAATCTGGCTTTTGATAATGCCCAAAGTTCAAAACCTATTACTAGTGAGTATGAGTGAACTATTTTAATTATATGAAAATTGGATTTCTTATAAACTTGTTAGACATAATCTTCTTACTTACAAATTTCAATATTAGTGAGGGTGAACATAATATTACAATATAGGTTTCTTGGTTGAAAAGTTATACTTGTATGAGTTTGATATAACTATTTTTAGTACTACTATGAGATAGTACTTGAAACAAAACGTTCTCTTCTCAAATTGATGTGAAAATATGGGAACAGTAAGTGTCCTATTGGATGTCTTCATTGGTTATGTTGAACATAATATTACAATATAGGTTGGTTGAAAAGTTATACTTGTATGAGTTTGATATAACTATTTTTAGTACTACTATGAGATAGTACTTGAAACAAAACGTTCTCTTCTCAAATTGATGTGAAAATATGGGAACAGTAAGTGTCCTATTGGATGTTGAAATCATAAGGAAATGTGCTAATATAATATGCTATCACAAGAACGTCATATTGAGAAACTCTTAAAAATATGAAACACTTTGATGTCAAAATCTGTGAATACTCCTTATGATTTTAACACTCAGAAAATAGATGTGATCTTGTTGCTCAATCTGAGTATGCATATATTATTGTAAGTCTCATGCATTTAGTTTTTTCCCTCACGACACATGACATACGTTGTATGTAGATTGAACTATTATACAAACAACACAAATCATGAGCATTATATTGTTACAGTTGTCAGTTGTACCAGTGTGATTTTTGCAATGTATTATGAATTATGGTACTCTATTTTGTGGTTTTCGTTGTATTGAAAGGATAAAATGGTGCTAACTGGATTTCAAATCTAGATGAGACAAAATTCACAAGGAAATGTTTGGCTAACATAATATAAGATTACTCGACAAGTTGTTAGGAATGTTACATTACCATGTTTAGCTCATTTAGCTGAAATGTAAAGATTTTATTGTTTGGTGATGGACCGATGGAGTGTAAGATTAACTAAAAACACAATCTAGTTATGTGCTTATATTTCCTCAATCTAATCTTCTCTAACCAAACAAAGGAACAAAATTCCTCAATGTAAGATCACCAAGCACACCCTTAAGTGCACATCACAGAACTCAATCTTTTTTATTTCTCAAGTCTACCTATTGTTAGCCTTTGAATTACCTTATTTTTTCTCGATCAACCTTTGCTCTCACACACCTAATCGCCTAACATACCAAGCTTGAAAAATTGTTTTATACACCAAAAACGCATATCTCCTTTCATTATCTTATTTTTCTAGCCCAATTAGCCTTTGGCTCATCTCATTTTACTCTACCAACCTTTGCTCACAAGCCTATAAATACCAAGTCTAGCAACAATGTTCTATTCACCAAAAAATGCATATGACTATTCTCATTCACTCTTAATTTTATACCAAGCCTTACAACAACTTTCGATCACAAGCTTATAAATAAATAAATACCAAGATTCTTCCTACAAGCTCATAAATACCAAGCTTGACAACATTGTTTTATACACCAAAAAAACGCATATCTCCTCTCATTCTCTCTTCTATTCGACTGTATTTTTCTTAAGAGTGTTCTTTGTTGTTCCTTCCCCTGTTCTTCAATTAGATGAGCTTGTTAAATCCTATTATACATTCATTCTACTATCAATTATCCTTCACGACAGTGTCCAATACGCCTCAAGTTTAAGTTCAGATTTTGAATTTGGTCCAAAATATCCCAACACTTTTATCCCTCTAAATTATATGCAAGAATTTCTAGAAATAAAAAAAAATCCAATACAGATGAAACCAAAATAAAAAAAGATTAGCATGCATCAAAGGCAAGCAATTACCTTGAGTAAGAACGGCAACCTTAACCTTTTGTCCCGTTCCCTTAGGCAAATTCACCTGTAAGGGTCAAAAGAAAAGTACGATATTATTATAACATCAAAGATGGATGAGATCATGACTACTATGAGATCCTCATGCGAAGCACCGGAAACTTACGGTTGCTCTCAGCTGTTGATCATTGTACTTGGGATCAATGTTAAGGCGGAAATGAGCTTCAGCTGTCTCTACAAACTTTGTACTTGACATTTCCTTTAGCAAAGATATTGCTGTCTTTAGATCATATTCCTTTTTGTTTTCCCTTAATTTTTTAATTTCCAAGAATCTCTTGGATCTCGTCTGCAGTTTGAGCAGGAAAAGGGAATTGAATTAAATCACTGAACCTAAGTATACACAATAAGCATTTAACCACTCCAAAATTGTTAAAATTACTTTTTCCCCTCCTTTTTTTTTTACTAATTTTACCAACGTAGGTAATACCTGACCCTCAGAAGCCAAAATTTTCAGTCAACAAAACAAACACTGTTTTCTCTAAGCTAAGTAAAAAAAAAAATCCAGACATGAAATGACCCAACATACAACAAAACCATACAACTTAAAATTTCAACATTGCACATACTCTGTCTCTCTTAAGAGGCAACGCCGCCTTTCCTTTTTTGGGTTTCGACGGGGCAGTAATAGTAGCGGTAGCAGAACCACCGTCAGCCGCTGCATCCTCTTCATCCGCAGCCTTGGCCACCTCGGCCTCGGCGGCGGCCACAACGAGGATGAAGGTGTGGTGCAAGTAGCCATTGTTTCGAGTATGTGCTGAGTCTGCAAGTTAGAGCTTCTTTTTCAGTCTTCTTTTTTTGGGCTTTCTTATCTATCCATCCATTCCAGTCATTGAGAGGATAAGAGATGTTTTTATGGTGCAGTCAAGTTCCTTTATTCTACACGTTAACGATGGAATACAAATAATTATTTTTTTGGTTGTGTTTGAGAAAGAAAATATGATAAACATATATTTTAGGAATAGAGAATGAGTGGTATATTCTTTTTGGCCTCGCAATATTTCTGCATGTCATTTAAGTATTTTGTGAATAAAATAGTTTTTAAATACTATTTTTTTGCTAGGTTTAACATGGTTATATCATAAATATTCAACATTAATGTTTAAAATTAATATTTATATTGTAAAAAGCAAATAATTTGGTAGTTAAAAAGTATGATTCTTATCTCTAAAGATTTTAGATTCGAGTATCAATGACGATTGGGTATCTGAGCATTAATTATCAAATGATTAAGAGTTTTTAGAATATATATTAATAATTAAATCACTTAGATTAATAAAGAATAAATATTTATATTTATTAAAAAATTGATATTTATATAATAGATGATTTACATAAATTTAAAAAATTCAAAAGGTATCAAAATTTTTAAAGATATTTTTTTATTTTTAGTTGATAGATAGTAACACTAATTTTAGTAGGGATAGTTGTCATCAATACTTCTTTTTTTCTTCTTAATTTTATTATATCACGCTTTTATTTTTCTTTTAATTTTAATTTTTAATAACTCCTTTCTATTTGAGTTTGATTGAATTTGACATTATCAAGATTAAGTTTGTTTGTTATTATGTTGATCTTTTCTATTTTATCCTGTTGATTTTTTATATTTTACACACTTAGATTAGATTAGATACGTAATTTGCGTTCGTAGATAGTTTACTCACGTCAATAGTCTCTAATTTACAATTTGTCAGTAATTTTTAAGTAGTTTGATCTCTTTTTTTATTCATTTGTCGATACAATCAGATCTATTCATATCTATATTTTATTCAAGTTTTTTGGTTAAATTTTTAACCTTTTACTTGTATGGTCCGTGTGTGATCTTAAGTGGTTAGTTTTTGTATCAATGGTTACAAGAAAAATATCTTTTTATGTGTATAATTTACGATTATCGTTATAAGACTTTAATATTATAAATATTTTCTCTTTTTAATAAAACTAGACACTTTTATAAAAAAATTAATATTTATAAATAAATTTAAATAACAAAATTAATTTATATGAAGAAATAATATTTAAAATTGGAATTGATTTTAGTTGATATTTTCTGTCCGAATAAATAAAATTAGTCAAATAATACCAACCTTTTGATAATCTATTATAAACTTACATGCAATATAAATCAAGCACTTATATGTAAAATAGATAAGTCATGTCATTTAGAAAAGAAACAAAATGGTCACGGTTTAATTTATTTTAATGGTTATAGAAATCGTTATTATTTTTAAAGGTTACGAGTTTGAACATCAGTAATAACAGTAAAATGATTTATTATTGTCAAATAATTAAAAATATTAAAAATATATATTATTTTATAATCACTTTAACTTAACAATAAAAAAAATACGAAAAATGAATAATTTTGTTCTCTGATGGGACGAAATGAAATATTTGTGGAAGGATAGTTTGGGGCAAGAAGGTACAAGCACATCGTTGAAGCGAGCAATGGTGGAGTTGTGGATCACAAAATGGAAAATGAGCCGTCGATTTCAAGTTTAAGGTTTATGGTTGAAATAGAGTAAGTAGTCCGAATCAGGTGGGCCCAAAAACATCGTGTCCTAGTACAAATAGCGAAGCCCAAACACGTGTCACTCAATGTCTTCATTGGATGGAATCTCAACGAGGAAGAGAGACAAGAATATGTACATTCAAGTCCTAAAACCTCAATCAATCATCAATTAATCGATATTTTATTTAAATTATTTTAGCTTATGAGTATTATCTTATTATTTTATTTATATATTTTAAAAAATTAAATTGATCTAAATATATTTGTTTGGTTTTTTAAAATTTAAATATAATTATTAACATTATGATATTGATCGATTAAAATTTAAAAGATTCTCGTTATATATATGTATAAGTAAAATTTATAATGTTATTTAATAAATCAAATATCATCTAAAAGTATATATTGCATTTATAATGTTTTTAAAATATAAAATTTAAAAATAAAGTATCGATGAAATTGATGAACCTAGTAGTCTTATTCCATTTTCTATAATCCATGCACACTCTCCAAGAAGTAACTTTTATAGCTTGTATATGCTTTTTTTTTTTTCATTTTTTACCATCACTATTCTACCTTTCTTTGATACACATTGTATCATATTTACATGTGTAATAGTAGGGATAAATAATACATGCAACGAGCCATTTGATAATTTCTTTCATTACAACTTGCTTCATTGCAGGATTTAGTCTTCGCTAGGCTTCTATGAATTTTCCATGGCAATCTTCCAATATGATGTTATGCATGTAGATTGTTGGTCATGCCTTTTAAATTGGAAATTGTCCACCCAATTACCTTTTCTATTGCACCAATGTCTTTACTAGCTTACAGGTTATGTTTCTAGTCAGGTTGCAGCCTAGAAGAAATAATTATTGGCAAAATGTTATTCTCACTCAAGTATGCAATTTTAATGGATCAGAAAAAGGTTTTAATTCCAACCGTGGTGATTGTTCAATTAAAGGTTTGGGAGATTGGAATTCCTTACCGGTGTATTCCAAGGATTCAAAACGATTACCTGATCGAGATATAATCCAATTTACCTCAGGCTCATCATCATTCTATGTTTCTAGGTCATCAGGAAAATTGTCATCTAACTTATTGTGCTGACCACCAATGAAATTGTCATGGTAATATTATGTCTTAGTGATGCCAATTACCGAGTCAAATACTGCAAGGCATGACATTTCTCCTAGTCGTTTGCATAATGAAGTATCTTGAACACATTCAATGTAACGCGTTGGTCGTTGAATCTAATTGTGAGTACATCTCTTTCCACATTGATGAAAGTTCGTTTGGTGGCTAAGAGTGGTCTTCCAATAATTGGGGTGAACTCATATGTTTCACAATCAAGAATCATGAAGTTAGTAGGGAAACTAAATTTATTAACTTTTACCAGAATATTTTCAATTGTTCTCTCTAGAGAGATATATGATCTATCGATAAGTTGTAACATAACAATTTTCAACTTAGGCTTGTCAATGCCAAGTCACCCGAAGACTGAGTTTGGCATGAGGTTGATGCTTGCCTCTAAATCACACAATGCCTTACCTAAATAGTGATTTTTAATCTCATATGGGGTCATGAAGCTGCATGAGTCCTTCAACTTTGGTGGCAATTTGTTATTCAAAATTGCCATAAAACCTTCTGTTAGGGTAATATTTTCAAATTCACTTAACCTAGTACGTTTGGAGATAATTTCCTCGAGGAATTTTGCATAGTTAGGCATTTATTCAATTTCCTTTGCCAATGGCAAGTTGATGTGGACTTGTTTCAAAAATTCTAAATTTTTTTATGAACTGATACTTTTGCGTCTACTATATAGTCTTTGACGAATGAAGGTGGCAATCGAAACTCATAGTCCTACTTGTTTCCCCCGTAACAAGTTGGAAACTTTAGATAGAATTATAGTAGCAACTATTGTTGGTTCATCATCTCTCGTTATTGAGGCATCTATTGTATCTTTCTCTTTAATTGTCGTACCCGCTATTTCGACATATGGATTGATATTTTTTGGGAATATCAATGACCACCCTAAACGTAGGGTCTTTGTTCAGTTATTTTTCACTTCTAAGAGTGACCATCTTGCATTGCTCATGGCCTACTTTGTGTGCGACCTTTGTATCACTGGACAAACTTTCAACTTTCCTTGCGTTTAGTGCTTGGGCAGATTATCCCATGTGAGTCTCCAAACTTTTAGAGAAGCTCCTTGATTTTGGATCTGCACCTCGATCCTGTTAATAAAAGCACTCGTTTTACTTATGAAATCACTTGTTTCCCTCATATATTAATCTATTTTATTTATAAAGCTATGTAAAGTTGCTTCTAAAGTAGGAGTAGAATAATCATGTTGTTAAGGCAATGATAGAAGTTACTGTGGTTACTGTCGCGATAAGTTTTACCTGAACCTTAAGAATTTCGTCATGGTATTTTGATGTGCCTAATTGTCTCCAGAATTTTGATTGCTTCACGAAAAAATTGGATGATTCTTACATCCTGAATTGTATGTGTTAGAGTATGGGTTATTGTTACAATTAAAGTTTCTAACATAGTAGATCGAATCTAGATTCTATGGACCCTCGGAAATTCATAATTAGCATAACATAAAGCACAATATGTAGTAGTTATCTTCATCTTTTCTCTCTATAGGGAATTGCAAATTTTTGACCAGGTTGATTAAGGTAACAATTTATGCTGACAAAGCATCAGTTGGCTCTAGTTCAATTCTTACAGTATTTTTTCTCCCTCGTCCCCTTCTGGTCAACAAAAATTGATAGTTATTATTGGACATTCTCTTTAGAATCTTAAATGCTTCCTTGATGAATTTGTCAAGAAGAGTGTCATTTGTCGAAGCATCTAGCATCATTCTAGTTTGAACATTGACTCTATGATGGAACATCTCCACCTATGTCCACTCCTTGAATACGTGCATCAAACATTTATATAAGAGCTCATTGTTTTGGTCCCAACATTCATACATGGACTCATAATCTGTTTGGAAAAAAAAACGTAATGTCACTACGTAATCAAACATTCATGTTTGAGGGATTATACCTTAGTAGAAAACTACAACACACATCCTCCCATGATTCCTAGATGGAATGCCATTCAACCAATTTCTCTCTTTATTCCTCAGTGAATAAGGAAAAAGTTTCATTTTTAACACATCTGCATGGACTCTTTTATACCTAAAAGAATCGTAAACTTCAAGGAATGTCTACAGGTGTTGCTTGGCGTCTTCATTATGTGAACCTTCGAGTTGGCCTATTGAGTTAAGCATATTGAACATGAAAGGTTCAACTCAAATTATGTAGTTTAGATTACAGGGGCTACCAAACCATGGTTCAAACCATTAAGGATTATATTAGATGTTCCTTACTAGGTTTGTGGCGAACTTGAACAGGTGTTGCATGTGGTATACTGCCTTCGCCTGCTCTGAAAATTGGATTATTGTCTGTATTTTCTGGTTGATATTCCATTATTTGTAACTTTTTTCGTCACCTTTGAAAAAGTTTGATTTTTGGTATAAGTGGATATAGTTCTCTTGAGGGTCTTCTTTTGGTCATGCACATGAGAGAACCCTATAAAATGTAAACCACTTAAATCAAAACTTGAGAGATAAAAGTGCAAAAGAATTCAAAAATAAAAATAACTATTGTCAATCTTTAGCAACTGTGCTAAAACTTGTTGTGGGTTTTACGTGTTCGCAATTAGGGAAAATATACACATCACAAATAATAGTATAGATTTAGATCGTCTCCAAAGGGACTGGTGGACTTCTACTTTTGAATCATTGCACTGAAAAAGGAAAAATAGTTTTGTATGAGAAGGTTGTTGTCGACACCATTTTTTGTCTGGGTGGGACAAAAAATAATACGACTAAAAAATGAATGGGGTTTTTCTTTGAAAAGATTTGTGAAATGTTGGGAGTCGCCACTAACTATTTTAAGGTACAATTGGAACACCATAAAAACCAGGTAATTTAATAAAACATTTTATTAAAAAAATGTTAAGTTTAGGGTATGTGAAAATTATAAATCAGGTTCGAGAGTCAGCTACGCGTGGGGAAGGATTAACACCCCCACAACACCGAAAAATTGGTACCTAGTTCACTACCCTATATTTAACATCAAAAATTTGGAAGGTAAAGTCAACTCGAAACGTCATGAGCTCCAGGGCTAGAGTTTCAGGCAGGAATGGTGAAGTGGAGAGATATGCTCATTTCTTCACAGGTTTCACGGTTTTCGTCAATAATGTTAGCAAAATGATTCATGTTTCCTCTCTTAAGGAAGCGTTTCAAGCCTATGGTAATGTATTGGATGTGTTCATTGCGTATAGGAGTAGGAAAAGACAATCTGTTGAATCTACATTTGCATTCGTAAGGTTCAGTAACATAAATAAAGAAATTCAGCTGTTAGGAGAACGGATGGTTGAGTGATGGATGGGTTCAAGATCAAAGTTTTCCATGACAAAATGCCTTAAAGACAAAGTAAGAAGGTAGACGTGGAAAGAAGTTTTAAAATGGTATGGAAGACAACTTTAAGGGACGCTAGGTCATTCAAAGAAGTTCTTGGAGGCGCGCAGACAGAAGGTGGGAAGCCATATGAGAAGATTGATGGTCAGCAGGATGGAAACTATAGTGGTTCTGATGTAGTTGTGAATGTAAATATTGTTGATGATAGTGAAGATAGTTCTTCATCAAGTCATGATGTCGGAAGCAGGAATATCCTAATCCCTTAGAAGAAGTTATCGTGGAGAGAAAGAATCTTGGTTGGTAAAATTAAAAATAGTTATAATGATAATATTATCCAAACAACATTTAGAGCTAAAGGCTTGGACGTGAAGGTCAACATTTGGCATGATTTGTTGATGATTATCCAATTCAAAAATGAAAACGATCGTTAGGCATGTTGGTTAAGAAGAGATGAATGGAGGGATATGAAAATAGAGTCAAAATTAAAGTTTGGGTCTCTCTGAAGGATGTTCCTCTTTCTATTTGGAGTGTGAAGCTTTTCAAGGGCATTGGAAGCTTGTGGGGAAGAGTCATTTTGATTGATAAAGAAACTACTGAGCGAGACAGGTTTGATGTTACAAGAGTGTTGTTGGAAGTTCAGTCTGAATCATCCATTCCAAAGAAAATCTCCATTATCTTCAAAGGACATTTGTATACCATTAAAATTCAAATAGAAGTGCAGGAAGAGGCTAGAGCCTTCATCGATGGAACCATGGTGGGGGTGGAGCATGTTGTGCTGATGTCGAAGAAGAAAAACTCTCCAATCTTCGAGGATGAGGTTGTTGCAGGTGTGGGTCTCGAGGGAGGTATTAATGAGTAGGAGCAGGTTAAGTCGGTTAGTTAGAGGTGGGATAATGATTATGGTTTTTTGGAAGGTGGATCGATGCATGCAGAAGCCATCGTGGATTGCATGGGTGCTTCTGAAGAGGGGTTGCACGAAGTTCCTATCACTTCCAATAATGGGCAACTTGAGAAGCCTGCTTATGACGAGAGTTTTGGGCTAAAAGCAATTAATAGGGAACCATAATTAGTTTGGGTGACCCAAACCATTTCCAATAGCTCAAGGCTTTTAGAAGTGCCAATATGAGGTGTCATCTATCAAAGTTATTGATGAGGTGAACTCTACTGATAATCGAGCAATCAGAACTAGGAATTCTCTGAAGAGGATCAAAGACCCACTGAATTCAGGTGTTGATAATTTACCAAAGTCAAGTACAATAGGGGCGAATCAGGTCAGCCTCAAAGTATCCACGAGATTTAACAATGTGAAAAGGAAAAAATAGGGATTTAATAGTTGGGATGAAAGACACAATGTTAGTAGCAGTTGAAATCAAAATGGAGCCATAGGTGTGGAGCACTATGGTGGCAAGAAGAGCGTAACCACTGAAGCGGATGAGACTTTAGCTGTTGCAAAAGTTTTAGGGTAGAGTTCTCAAGGCTGAGAAGGGATGTGTTACAAAGGCTGGAATCAATTGAGCAAATGGGTTAGTGCCGAGTCTAGTTTTGATTACTGTTTGTGTCTGATTATGTGGGTGTTTTAATTTTATGGACCCTAGCTTATCAGTTTTATCTAGGAATGTCTGAGGGTTAGGGAAATCTGAAAAGATAAAAGATGTACATAGGGTTATTGAATTAAGTAAGGTCAATGTGGTTATGCTACAGGAGTTTAAGGTCACTGAACTGAGTGGTTATCTCCTAAGAAGACTAAAAGGAATGTCCGATAAGGAAATAGCCTTCGCGCCTACTGAAGGGGCTTCGGGTGGCCTGATCTCATTGTGGGATAGAAACTTGTTTGATGTTAGTTGTATAACAGTACATAAGAGAATGATATCTCTTAAAGGGAGATTAGTTGGGAATAACAGGGTGATAGGGATTATTAACGTTTATGGGTCGAATGTGCAAGGAGATAAAAGAGAGTTTTTCGAGATATCGAGTTCTATTATTGCTAATTGGAACATTCCGGTGATAGTGGGGGGCAGATTTTAATACTGTTAGGATGGAGTCCGAAAGACTAGGGAGTCAGGATCAATCGGCTGCGACGAGAATATTTGAAGAGTTTATTTCTATTTGCGAGTTGATTGAGGTGCCAAATCAGGGTAGTTTGTTTACATGGTTTAGGGGTAGTGGGAATATGGTAGCAAGTAAGCTCGATAGATTTTTGATATGAACTGAAATTTTTAGTATGTGTCCCCAATTGGTGCAATATTCACTGCCTAGGGGTTTATCCGATCACAAACCAATTGTTTTGAAAGAGAAGAGGTCAAGGAAGTCTATTAGACCTTTCAAATGGTTTAACTATTGGGCGGATGACCATATTCTGGCCAAAAGAATCAGAGATATATATGCATATAACAAAGGCGAAGGTCTAGAAAATTTTTTTCTGCTGGCAAAGAATGCGACCAAGGATAGAGAGAGAGCAGTCAGAGAGTTGAACCACTATTTTGCAGAAGAAATTGGTAAAAAGATTGATTTTTTAGAAGAAATATGGTTGTCATATCCGAGTAATATACAATTTCAGTCGGAGATTACATCGTTAAAGGTAAGACTTTGGGCTGTTGTGAGGAAGGAAGAATATGAATGGTTACAAAAATCTAGGCTTAGGTGGTTTAAAGAGGGAAATAAAAATACGAATTTCTTCCATCTCTCATCCGTTTCAAGGGGTAAAAAAATCAGATTACTAAGCTGAAGGTCCAAAATTCGATTTACAAGAATCAGGTGGGTATTCAACAAGCGTTTGTTAAATATTTTTGTGCTGGATATAGCAAGGTGAAAATAATTCCTTTGAAGAGATTTGATATCCCCTCAAGAGAATAAATGATGCCACCAGAAAGATTATTGAGAGCCCTTTTATGGAAGAGGATGTTTAGATTATAATAAAGTTGTCTGATGGATCAAGAGCGCCAGGACCGAACGATTTCAGTTTGGACTTATTTAAGAGATTTTGGAAGCATATTAAAGGCAAAGTTATGAAGTTTATGGAGGAGTTTTACCAGGGCAGAGTAGAAGACCTTTCTTTTAATAATCCTTCATTGTGCTTATTCCAAAGAAAGCAAAGTTTATTTACCCCGACGATTTCAGACCAATTTCCTTGGTTGGCGGCATGTACAAGATCGTATCCCGTGTATTGGCAAAGAGGATGGGCAATTGTCTTGCCGAAGTGATTGGAGAGAATTAGTTCGCTTTTATTGCTGGAAAATAGATAGCCAATTGTAGTATGATTGCCAACAAAGTCATCGATGGGTTAACAAAAAGTAAGAAAGAAGCAATGATGATTAAGGTAGATTTTAGCAAAGCCTACAATAAGGTTGATTGGAAGTTTTTGAATTTGATTCTAAAGAAAATGGGTTTCGGCAGAAGATGGAGGAAATGGTTAAACTTTTGTATTTCTACTCCTACGATTGCTGTATTAGTCAATGGATGTCCGTCAAACAATTTCTCAATAAAAAAGGGTCTTAGACAGGGATGTCCGTTGTCGCCGCTACTCTTTAACATTGTTGGCAAGGCACTCAGTGGTATGATAAAGAAAGCAATGGACACTGGTCTCATTTGTGGAGTAAAAGTAGGGTCTGGAGGCACTGTTTTATCACATATCCAATTTGCAGATGATATGCTCATTTTTTCTGAATCAAAAGCTGAGTCGATTTTAAATTTCAATCGGGTTCTAAAAATCTTTGAAGTGGCTACTGGTTTGAAGCTTAATATGGAAAAAAACTAATTTATTTGGTATCAATGTGGAAGAAAGTAGAGTTAGAAGTTTGGCAGAATCGATTCATTGTGGTTGGGCAGAGATTCCATTGACGTACTTGGGTCTTCCGTTAGGGCATCAGAAGAATTCAAAGTCTCTCTAGCAGCCTATCTTGGATAAAATTAAAAATCAGCTCCAAAGCTGGAAAGGTAAACTGCTTTCATTGGGAGGAAGGTTAACACTTTTTAAATATGTCCTAGTTAATTTGCCTGTGTATTACA